GCGTTCGATTATATGTTGCTTCGTTAGCTGTTACCGGGTTGGGGGTCCAGATCCTTTTACCTTCCCTGCTCATAACCCCTCCACCATCCCACACACAATTTCCCTTTGTGAGCGGGGGTGGGCAATTATCTGCACTGCTTTCAATATCCCTGCAAGCCCCAAGGCTGCTTTGATCTTGTTTTCCTATCCCTCGGGATTGTAACACGGGCTCATAGTCCCCACCCATACTATTCCTCCTCCCCTCCTTCTTCCCGTAGGTTCTCCTGAGCGGTCTGCTGTTCGTTTCCACGCTCTCTCTCTTGCGCACAGTCACGATGTTTCTTGCCGTTGTTCCGCTGTCAGTGCCTCGTTGTTCCATCCATTGTCGATGAGCACCATTGCCGTTCATCCCCAATTCTCCGCTCCCACTCCGTACGGTGCTCTTCCCCTTTAATTGCAGTCGCTGTTTCATCTCGCAACTTTGTGTTGAGAGTATCCGAGGGGGGTGCATTCTTCTACTCGACTGTGACCGGGTTGTCATGGTGTGCGTGGTAATATCCTCAGAGGGGGATTCGTCCTCGGTCTCATCGTCTTGGTTGGACTTAGTTGTATTCCGTTTTTCTTTCGGTTCCTCGGGCTCCACTCCGTCTCCATTCCATCCCACCGGTGATCCGTTCCCTACGGATCGTGGCGCACCCAGCCGCAGTTGCCTGCTAGAGTTAATCTGTTGTTGATCCGGGAGGGGGGAGCTGTCAATATATATTCCTATATATTCCTTCAAGATGAAGATCCTTTCAAGAAGCCTAATGTTTCCTTTGTACTAGACAGCACAAGAAGATGTAGACCAGCAAACTGACTGTGATATTGAAGTGCAATACATTTGGAGGGCACCAAATAGAGGAAGCATGCTGTAGGCCATGACCAGCACCTGCTGTGTATCCATTTCAAAGTTGCCATTGTTCCAAGGACAAACACTATTTGCAATCTCTTAAACTACCTTTGCCTCTATCTTTTTAGAGGTTTTGGAAATAAATATAACTTCTTTTAAATTTATAACCAGTGTGGTGGCAGCAGCAGGTCCATTTTGACAGCAAAGACTGTTGTCAAATTTCAAGTAGATTTGCTTTTTGATTTAATGCACATCCTGCTTTTTTTGTGTTGTTATAACAATAACTCCAGGAATCACAGTAAAGATTAAAAAACCCATAAAAATAAGACAATTGATGCATATTTGATTCAGGACAAAAATATATTAACATAAATTGAAATTGAGCTCCCTCCCCCAAATTTGCTGCATTTCAACAATAAGGGACAACTTTGTTGCACTTTCATAATTTAATACAGAGTCCTCTTGCACTCAGTGTCACCTACTGGTTGAAAAATCAACCACCAAATACATTGGGGGGTTCAACCATTCCTTTTTATTATTTGACTTTATTTTTAATTATTTATAGTGGCTGCTTCTCCCAGGAGATTGACAGTCTTCTCAGAAAAACAAAAAATCAATACACCCATGTCAAACAGCCCATCACTTCCAAGATTTGTCTGAGTAATAGGAAGAATTGATTTAAAATACAAAAATGTGAAGTTTGACCCAGAAAACTCTCAATGCAATTGTGCCTCTGAATTTTTCTATCTCCTTCAGGAAACCAATTTCACTCTCAAAATGTTTGGTCAAGAGCCTTTTCCATTCCACATTTGTGTGTATGTGTGTGCATAGACCATCTACTTTCCTATATGATCTCTCCAGCACATACATACACACATCTCAAATAGCAGGAATCCTGTCAGGCCTATTAATCTCTTGACAGTTTAATATTATTTTGTAAAAACAAAAAAAGATAGATATTCACTCTTCTTGTAGAGAAAGTAAAAAAATCACCAGCATCAAGCAATCAAATAAGAAGAAAATGTTTCTAGATTCTAGAACAAATTCCATTCTGAGACCATCACATCCCAGTTTATCCCCAAAGCATAATAAATTGCCTGTACAGGAAGCTTTGTTTTGGGAGAAGAAGGAAAATATCCCTTTCAGCTTGAAATTAAAGGTAGATCTAGGCCAAGGATAAGTTGAAGATAAAATCATGAAGACCCATCCCTCAAAAATGGGTTAGTAAGGCATTTTTATGAGGCTAGCAGGAGAGCCTAGAGGAGAAGCATTCCATAGTTTAGAAGCCATGTGAAAGGAGGTTCTTGATGATTGCTAAGGTTCAAAAGCACAGGTCATCCCTGCAATGGATTTTCCTGCAGATCTTAATATTCAAGTAAATTTATAAAAGGATACACAGTTCTTCAGACAACCAGGCCCTAACCTTTAAGGGTTGAAAGATTATCTTGAACTGTGCCTGGAATTAAATAGGGACATTATATGACTCAGATTTAATTGCACTTATTAGTAACCAATGGCCTCATTTTAGCTTCTTCATATTGCATCATTTGAGGTTTCTGAACAATTTTCAAGTATGGTTCCACATATAGCACATTGCATTAATGCATTAAATTATGATATTTCTAAGGTGTGGAGAACTGCCAAATTCAATTAGCTCAGGAATGGTCATAGTTGGCTCATTAGATGTAATTGTAAGATCAGAGTCTTGCCCAGGAATGAGCCTACGCTTTCAAATGAATAAGTTGGGTTATTTATTGCTAATGCCACACATAATAATTAGCAATGTCTCAGCAGAGGGGTGCCTTTTAGGATATCATTACTAGGTACACCTCTACAATTTTTAAAAATTGCAGAACAATGGCATATGTGCTTCCAACAGAGGAAAGTTCAGGAGTTTAAGAAAATAACCAGGTGAGCATGGGTAATACCTGCCTTATTCTGTCTAAGGTAAGGCAGACCCATTTTGGAAAGTTTTCAAAAATATTCTGCTTTGTCAGATGTTTTCGCTAATGTTAATACTATTAGTAATACTGTGATGAAAGAAGCAGAAATAAAATCTCATTGGTGCTTCTCTTTTGAATTACAAAAACAAAGGAAGCTGATAATTCACAACTGTTTAAAATAGGAATAAGCAAGTTGATGCTTACAAGATGTCTGGACAATAATATCCACAGCGCCTTGTTATTCGACATGCTAGTTGATACCAATTGGATGCTGAAGAGCATAAGGTTATCTATTTCTGCACTGTACATTTTTAAGCAGTAAAAGTGTTCAGGCACAATTGAACTATACAATGTAATCCTCTCAACACAAATAACAAATCATTTATAATTTTAATTATATTATTAGATTCAAATTTCTGCCTGAGGTCACAAAACATTTTATATTATCTCTGGGGTCTACCTTGGTTTGTTATGAACATTGGTTCTTGGCAGACATTATTGTTCTGCTTTTGTTATTATGTTGCTTATGTTTTCTTGTTGCATTTTAATCAGTGACTCTGCAGTGTTTAAGATTCCTCTTATTATTTAGTGAGACACAACTGTCTCCCCGTGATAAAGATAGAACAAAATATGTGGGGTTTCCACGCAAAAATAAAATAATTACTGCAGCCTTAATGCATAATTGATATACATTTTAACAAATGGTTGTCAGAATTCTAAATTATTTCAAAAGCATATCATTCAATAGGTTGTTGATTATCATATATTGGTGTGCACTTAGCTCACAAAAATGAATCCCACAGGGTCCAAATTAACAAAATGCAATTGCTCTGTTTACATGGCATACTTTATCCAAAAACATAAATCATATTATGAGTTTTATATGATGGCTTGGTTCATACACTATACCATGACAATCACTGGGTTCCTTAAACATTTTTTAATACGTTTAAGTCAGTGTTGACTCATTGCAACTTCCTGGACTAGTCTCTTCTTTCTTGGTAAGATTTCAGATATGTCCTCCTTCCTAGGGTTCAGACAGAATGACTGGCCCAAGCTCATCAGTTGGCTTTGTGCTTAAGGCAGGATTAAAACTCATGGCCTCCCAGTTTCTAGCTTGGTGGTTTAACCACTATATCAAACTGGCTCTCCTAAAATATGTTAGACCCAATCCAATTTTAGCCTAGCCTAGTCCAGAGTATTATTGCACAACCCAAGCTAGAAAATGAATAGATGAAGATACTTAGGCAATCTGAAAGCTAATTATGTCAATTCAATCATTGTGTAAGTATTTAGTGTTGGTCCAAAAGTAAACAAAACTATGCCTTTGTTCCTCAGGATATCATCAAATCAACACATCTCCCAGCTTTCATCATTTCACACTTGCAAGGGATTTTAGGATGCTTTACCTATATTGCAAAATCATTAGGACTTTTTTTTTTTTTTTGCTCATCCATGTTATTCATGCATTCTACCATTTTTTTCTTCTACAGTGCTGAGCATAATTTAAACTTGTAACATAAGTGAAGATAGGCTGTGCTCTATTAATTATAAAATGCTTATAATATCAGGAATAGCCCTCCATACATTGAAGTATAGGGTGGTATTTGTTTCTATTTCATTTCAAAACCACTAACAGTTTTGGCTGATTAAAAGATTATGAATGGTGTGGCATCTCTGAAAAGTTAGAAGAAAGCCAACTCCTAAATAGAGTGGAATCTGAAGGTGTAAACTTTTCCTCTCATCAAATCTATTATGCTATCCAACAAAGTCAAATTTGCTTTTTAAGATTATAATTTAAACTTTAAAACTGGTAGAGAGCAAAAAAATGTACAACAGAAGTTCCATCCATTATATTCCTAAGGTCTTTCAGTGGACAGGTTCCAGCTGATGTACAAACTAAAGGAAATCCATAGTACAAAGGACAGAATGGATCGATCTCCTAGTTCCTGAAGAAGCTGTAAATATCCCTTTCCATATAAGGAGAAGACTTTCCCTGTCTGAGCAATTCTGTAAAAATAACTCAGGAATGAAGAGATTTATCAATGGGGGAAGTTTTATCAGCTGTCCCAAGACCACCAAGACAGGCACAGCTGGGCTTTGTCAATGACACTGAAACGTTTCTTCTATCTCACACAAACAGACACAAACACATGTATAAATGTATACATAATTACAAATGATCATACCTGAACCAGCCCAGAGTAGCATTGGGGTGCCGGAGGATAGACAGGCAGGCTGTAGGGGTGCAGAACCACAGCTGGAGGGGACAACATGGCACATAATAAAGGAAGGGCCCTACTACTAAGTCCCAAAAGGAGTCAAAAGTGCCTCTGTTCAAGCAGCTTTGGCACCAGCTGAGGGAGTGTTGAGTGGCAGATGGGACAGTGCCATTGAAGGATGCCAACAGCTGTCAAAAACACAAGCGTCTGTCGCAAACTCTTTACTTAGACCATCCTAGTAGTATCATATGCTATTATACTGAATTGTATACCGTCCTAAATATTCTTATTTTATATACATATTTATTTATTAAATTTATATGCTGCCCATATCATTATCTAAAGCAACTCTGGGTGGAGCAGTGAAGATACATGATCTTTTTCCATGTAAACACATATTTATCAATCATTTCTTGGATAAATCATTATATCATATTGCCTAATACATGCATTTGAAAGCAATTCTAGTTTTGTATATTATTTTTACAAAAATACTTATATATGCATTCTTGCCCATTTATTTTGATTGGAAAACTGTAGTTTAAGAGGTTTGATAAACCCAACTGATTTTAATTCACCCATGGATTATACTTGCTAACTTAAAAACAGGTCAAATGTATTTCTCATGCCTAATAAATACGGTTCCTGAATGTGTCTGTCTAACATTTCCTGCTTTTTAAATTATTTAAAGCCCATTCCTTAATAAATATACATGTTTCCACTGTTTAAGATGCAGTGATGAAAATCTTTCTTTTTTAGTGCTGGCATCATGTTTTTGGTTCAACACTGCAATTGTTGTTTGGATATTATTTGTGTCATTGGATTTTTTTTCTGGCTCTCATACTGCAAACCTTCTGATTGAAAAGAAGCCGAACCATTTTTTGTTTGTTTGTTTGTTTTTACAAAATGGCTAACACTACCACAGAAATAGATTTTGCCCTCCACTAATTTTTTTAATGATGAGGCTGTCTAATCTTTTCTATTTCTATGCTTCAGATATTTGATCTAGTTGGAAGGTACAAATAAAGGCTTCCTGCTTCCTCCTCAAGTCTAATATGATTATTACAAAACTCATATTACAAATATAAAAATATCTAGATACAAATGTATGAAATAAATGGGAATGCAACTTTATATTTTGCATTAGCTTTTTTTTTTTGTAATTAAAGCATGAATGTAGAAGAAAGGGAAAAGTGGTTTCATGCTAAAGGTGCAAATCCCACATATGTTCAAAACTGCTTTGAAGCAAAGATGTGAACATTCACCTCATCCGAGGAAGAATTCTGGAGAAGTAAAAAGAAAAAAAATATTATGGGATCTTTGGATCAAATTTAATAAAATATCTATGTATGATAAACTTTACCTGGTTAAGTAATTGTTAAGAGCAACAGCAACAGAAACCATTGTTCTGAAGGCCAAATTTCTTGAGCATAATTAAGACCCACATTGTAGGCAGAATTAGGAGAGTGGCTGAGACCTTTGCTTTAGGGTTTTTTTTTTTCTTTTCATTATGACCAGTTGTTTAGTGGCCATTCAAAGGTACAGTGGACTTCCCTGGAGCATTTATATACCCAGATTCAAAGTTCTGGTAGCCACCTGTATGCCGCAGTCTTGTGACTGCACTTTGGGTGCTCAGTAATCAGCCTGCATTTATAGCCATTTGCAGCATTTCATGGTCACATGATTGTTTTATGATGGTTTCCCCCCAAATTGGCTTTTACATCCAGTTTTCAACAAAACTGGCCCACTGCAAACCATTGGTTTGCTTAAGGGCTGCTGCAAAAAAGGCCATAAAATTAGGTTGGTTATGTGGGTTTTATAACTGCCTATAATTTATTTATATTTTATCTATATTTATAAATATATTTATAACTATCATGACTTATGGCTGTAATGAATAGCCTTCATTATGATCAAAACCTGTAAAATGGTTGGGTATTTCTTATCAGAAATATACCTGCTGAGGAGGATTTTTAAAATTAAGCCAAAGGGTTTGTGAATTTAAGTTGCAAATTATGTAAAATTAGGGATGTCCCAGAAAAATTGCAGTCGCCGATAACTAATTATAAACTAGCAAACTAATAAGGTTATCATTAACCAGGCAAAAAGATCAGAGTGCAAATTTTAATATATCTCAAGTGCATGTGCATATTTATTAGAATTAATAAATACAACACTCACCATTGTGCTTTTTTCTGTTATTAGATTGTATCTGTAAGAGTTTTTATTTATCCAGGGGCCTTGTGCAGTAAGCCACACCAGGATCTAAAGATTTAATTTTAAAGGTTGGCAATCACCTGGTTGTACTAGGAAAATATAAAGCTTTACAAATCAAATCATTGGCCAAAGAATTGTCAGCATTGACTTAAGATAAGTAGAGCTAAAGGGATTCAGGCCCAAAGGCTTTTTGGAATTTCGCAGCAGCACAGGAGGGCTCCTTAATTTAAGACATGTAATCTGGAGGTGGTGGGGAATAAACCTAGATTTTCTACCTAGCATGGTCCCAATGCTGAACTAGCTATGGTCTCACAGCTAAGCTATTAGGAATACATTACTATTTAATGCAAGAAGAATAGTATTTTTCAAAACATTCAGAATACATTGGGAATTGACAAGGAAACTGCCATGATTATCTTACAGCTGCATTGCATGTGGAAATTTGTTTTTTCACCCTGGCATTATTAGGACTTTTTTGCATCTGAGTACAGTACAATAATTTTAATAATTTCTCCCACTCCATTTCTGTGCCACCACCTCATTCTTTTTTCCAATTTCTTGGGAACGGATGCACTTAGTGGGTTCCACAGTTTGAAAAAAAAAAAAGGCTGAAAAATAGTGTTTCTTGTAGGTAACCAAATTGCCAATACTGACAAAAAACAAAAATAATTGCAAAGATTATACTTTAAAGCAAGAAGTTGTAACTTAAAGAAACAAAGCAAAAAATTCAAAAAATTTAATACGAATAGTATGTGTCCACTTATGCTACCTGCTTATTTATGTGCCCCACTAGGGTTCCCTGGTGAATTTATCTCCCTTTTCTAAAAGCTGAGCAAGTACTTTTGTTCTGAGAAATCACTGCCAACTTGTAAACCAGGATTTACCTGTAAAGTGGCCCTTATCAGTTAGTAGCTCAAACCCTCAGGATGGAAAATATGACAGACTGGCTCTACGGATTTCTGGAGAAAAGCAAAAAATAATCTCCCCTTAAAAAAATAATCCATTTCTCTCTTCCCCCCCCCTCTCTTTTTTTTGCTTCCAGCCTCTGAAGAGATTTGTAGAAATATTTAATCAATGTTCTTGCTGAAACTTGAAAGCCACATCTTGTCCATATTTTAAACACTTCACCTATTTCTTTAATTGTGATGAGTAAAAGATGATCAAGGATTCTTGATTACCGAAGAGCAGCAACAAATGAATTCTTGGTAGCTTTATCCTAAATCATCTTTTTCGGAGGAAGGGTGTTTAATTTGGGAGCTATAAGGATACTTCTTGTCCCAATTATATCAACCCATTCCACCTGATCAAGCAGAGAGGATATGCTACATGTCCTGTCAGTCAAAGAGTTTTGACTAGTGTATTCTAGGAGGCCCTTCTCAGCTGCTACCCCCAATCTATGGAACATCTTATCCCCAAAGATGAGGTAACTCCCCCTTCTGGTTTCCCAAGAGTGTTTTACAATAAACAAAAGATTTAGAAATTCAGTAAAAATCAGTAAAAACATACCCAGGTGCAGATGTACTATCCAATCATAATCTAAAAATCCACCTAAAACTAAAAAGGATGAAAAACCCGAATATTGCTAAATCAAGAATTGACAGAGACTTCATCATTAAACATGGAGGTAAGATAAAAGAACTAGAAATTCATTTAAGAGAAACCAACAACCTGAATGATGAAGATGTAGAAGTGAACTGGAATAAATTTAAAATGCAATAGTAGAGGTAACAAATTCAAAACAGAGAGAGGGATACCACGAGGAACAACAGTGGATGACGGAGGAAATTCTTCATCTCGTGGATGAAAGAAGACCTTATAAAAATAAGAACAAAGAAAAATACAATGAATTGCAGAAAATAATTAGAAGACAAATTCTGCAGCTCTTCAGTTGAATATATGAAAGAGGAAAGATACCAAATGAGTGGCTAAAATCAACCTTTGTGACAATCCCAAAATAAATGCAAAGAAGTGTACCAAATACAGAACAATACGCTTAATGAGTCATGCCCTGAAAATATTCCTGAAAATAATTCTCACAATATACAACAAAATTGAGGAGCATAGGTAACACACAACGAAGAAACAATCTTGGTACACGAGATGCGCTATTCAGCATTCAAGTTCTTGTACAGCATTGTAGAGATATCAATCACAGTGTTTACATGTGCTTCATTGATTTTGAAAAAGCATTTGAGACATAACAAACTATTAGAAATCCTGAAACAAGTGAGACTAGATGACAAAGACATCCAAATCATAAAGAATCTATATTGGCATCAGGTAGCAAATGTGAAACTAGGTCAAAAAGTTTCAGCTGATGCAGAAATACGAAGAGGGGTCAGACAGGGATGTATTCTGTCTCCACTGTTGTTCAATATCTACTCTGAGTCAATCTTCAATGAGGCAGTGGAGAACATTGATGCTGGCATCAAAATAAACAGTTTTTGGATCAACAATTTAAGAGATGCTGATGATACAGTTCTGCCTGCCAGTAATCATGAAGACCTTCAGCTCCTCATCAACAGAGTCCACAGAAATATCTGAAAAATACGGCGTGAAGCTTAACACCTTGAAAACCAAGATCATGGTTGTCAGCAAACAACCCGTTAATTTACCACCAATAAATTTGGAAGTAATACCATTAGAAAAAGTTGAAAGGATCACACACCTTGGTTCTAATTTACATGAAAGCTGGGACATGAACATTGAAGTAAACAGAAGGATAGAGAAAGCTCAAACAGCATTCTTCAAAATGAAAAAGGTCTTCTACAATCACGACATAAGGCTAAAATTGAAAATCAGGCTTGTCAGAAGTTATATTTTTTTTCTATCCTGCTCTATGGAATAGAGAGTTGATTTCTGACAGAAGGCCATCTGAAGAGACTAGAAGCATTTGAAATGTGGATTTATGTATAAGCTGGGTTGACAAGATCAGAAATGAGGTGGTGATAAGCTGCCTGGGAAAGCCAAGGGAAATCATCAAAACAATTAAAAAATGAAAGTCAGAATATTTTGGACATGTAATGCAACACCCAGAAAAATATGACATATTCCATTTAATCCTCCAGGGAAAGGTTGAAGGCAAACGAGGTCCAGGCAGAAGAACATCATGGCTTCAAAATCTAAGGGACTGGTTTGGACAAAACTCAGCAGCACTTTTTCGTGTGGCTGCTGATAAAAATAGGATCGCCAACATGATCGCTAACGTCTGATAATGGATATGGCACAAGAAGAGTGTTAAGACCTGGCTTTGCCAATTATTATGGGGGTCTAGAAGTACAGTGCAACTTTGGAAATGGTGGCTTGAAGACACTTCTGCTGTTTTGTTAACCTCATAGCCTTTTGAATTTTGTACATTGATTTTTATTTTTACTTGGAATTTTAACTTGTTTTTAATTCTCTTTTTAATGTATGTTTTTATTCATGTATTTATATGGTTTCTTATGCTGCATAAATCATCCAGAATCATTTAGGTGAGATCGGCAGTGTAGAAATTTAATAAATAAATTTTCTGACTATTCAAGTTGCCCAGAGATTATTAATAAATCCTTTCCAAATATGAAACACTGCAATATATTTTTTAAAGAGAAAATTGTGATTGACAGTTTATGCATACATGATTCAGCAGCCAGGGGATAATTCAGGATGCTGTAGAATGTCAAGGGAGATGATTGAAACAGCAGTTCTTTATGGTGATATGAGACATTTATGCAAATGCTTTATTCATTTGTGAAATGGTAAATGAGAAAAACTTTTCCCATCCTTTCCCCTCAACCTTCAAATCAGTCCAGTTGCCCATTGTTTTCATATGTCTGAAACAAAGCATTTTATTGGGCTCACTTAACGTTTAATATCGTCTCATCAACTTTCTGTAGAAACAGTGGTGACAGTGGCCTCCTGGTGGTCAGTGCAACTTTCTACATAAATGAGGTATAATCTTCTCCTACACCAAAATCACATTCTACCAGAAAAAAAAATTATAAATTCAAGAATACATTTATTTGTATTGCACCATTTCATTTCTACTCTTTCAGGATTTTTTTCTTTTGGTAAAAACGTAACACTAGGAAGGTTTATATTTATTCTACATCACAAAATAGGCAATGCAGCCTAGAAAAGGATAAAAACACATAAAACTGGATAATGAACTGGGTAGTGCATTATCCTCCCATGTCCTGACCACTGTTTTGTCCCATATTAATATTTGAACTATTCACCATATACTCTGTTCTCTGGCACAAGGAGGATTTTTTTCCCTTTAGAAATAAAAGAAATGAAGAAAAAGAAGCAAATATTTTCACTTTCTGGGAGATGACCATCACTTCTTTGTTCACTGTGCCAGATTCTTGTCTTTTAATCATTATATGGTAGCTAAACATTCAATAGGCACAAGTACTCCTAGTACCTTCCCGATAGTGCTGAACTACAATTCCAGCAGCACCATCCAATGAGGAAGGATGCTGGAAACAGAGACTTAGGAAAGCCATTATTTTAAGAGATCATTTTTGGGAAAATCTTCCTATTGAATTTCTGTTAGCCAGGAATTAAAGGCAAGCAGCACCTTAGAAGCTACAATGTAGTAGCCAAATTATTACTCTCTTCTAAACCATAATTCTAGCAAAATATTATTCTCCCCCTCTCAATTTCTGCCTTCTCAACATCAATCACAACTATCCCAGAATTCTTAAACTTCTCATTTTCCTTCAAATAGTTTCACAAGGAAACCTGAGATAGAAAGCAAGTTTTTCTGCATAGTCTCTCAAACTAAAGTTACCCTTCTTTTCTCACATTTTAATAGTTCTTAAGTATCTCCACATTCTCCCAACTAGCTCTTCAAATGACTCTCCTGACTTCTTCAATTTTCCAGAACAGCCTTTTCCAAAATTAAATGTGAATTCTTTAAGGTATGGTCAACAAATTGTTTCACCCAAGAACTCTTGGATATATTAGTGGAATGGCTTTTATAGAAGAATCCTGAAAACACAACATCAAGGTCTGCTGGGTCTACTGTTGTTCTACTGTTGCATTTATATCATAGGTTGAGGATGAAAATAAGAAATGGGCATCCTATTAAGCCCTGCGCATAAACTAACTTCCAACTTTGATCTACTTGTCTACAAGGAAGATCCTATATAGGCCTGGGTATCATGTAATAGGCTATGGTGGGGACCCTTCACCATTAGGTGCCATGTCCTTTATTCCATATCATCCCAGAAGAAGCCAAGCCTTTAAAAAGCAAGCAGAGATAGAGGGAAGTCAGGATCATTTCTTAGAGAAGATGGATTCTGTCATCGGCACCCAGAGTGGCAGTATACACAGGAATGGAGTGCTGCCTTCTTCCCTTTGTCACATGCAGCAGGTGGTGCAAAGGAATGCAGCAGAGAGAAAAAAGATCTTTAGACCAGGCAGTTTCTTATGGGAGGCCTGGGATCACCTCACAGTGTTCAGCCAAGGCCTGGCTTCGCCTGCCTCATGGGGCACAACCAACAGCAACTCACAAGCACCCTGGGAAAGCACTTCCTGGAGAAATACCCTGTGGGGACAAAATAACATGTTACGAACCAGCAGGGTGTCCTGCTGAGTGAGTCTCCAACCACCATTCTCACCATCCTAGCACTCTTCTCCAAGGACCTCAGCTTTCTACAGCATTGTAGAGTGCTGTTCAAAAGTCAGTAGAGATGTGGCTATTCAGAGCAATCAGTCAGTTTTGCTCCTTTTAGCAACTTTAACTTCCAAAGTCATTTGGGTTTTCATTATATGATATTTGGTATTATTTATGTATGATATGATATCTTTAGAGAATTCAGAATATGGAAATAAAAACAAAAAAGAAGGCTACTACATCCTTGCAATTATTACCTGAGGTCAGCTTCACCACCAATTGGTGCTGGTGCCTTCAGTTTGGAGTCAAGATTATAATAGATGCCATCAAGCTGACGCACAGCAATCCAGTGGCGACGCCTCACAGGAAGAGATAGGAAACCCAGGCACACATTGGAAGGGACATTAATGATGAAGCCAACTAGTCCTGCCAGGGTCAATTGCTCGAGGGGTCTATACACAAAGAGAAAAAGGAGCTTGGCAGAGAAACTAGAATAATGTGGGAGGAAGACGAAAAAACAATTCTGAAATGGCCAGGAGAACAGGATGGTCTCACATCATGGTAAGCAGCTCCCAACTTAGTCAATCTATCAGTAAGGAAGTTCCAAAGACAGCCATATAGAAAAGATTAGCAATCATGCCTCAAAATGCTACAGCATGATGTGGCCTTGATTGAACTTTGTCATTTTTAAATTGCAAGCTGCCTTAAGTAATGAGGCATGAAGCTGAGGGATGAATCAGTAAAGATAGTTAGGAAGAGAAGGTGAAGGCGAACACAGAAGTAGAGAATGACAGAAGCTTATTCTTAAAAAAAATACAATGACAAATTTGTAGTTGGCTGATTTTTGCCTGTTCAGAAAAAGTAGCTTAGCTAAAAAAGTAAAGGGATAGGACCTTCCTTACCTTCGTTTATCCCACCAAACGGCTTCCAGCCCCACACTCTGAAGAGCTGCCATGATGACATTGACATCATAGTTCCCTGTTCCCAAAAAACTACGGTGTGGATTCCACCTAGCATCGGGAGCCAGTCTGTGGGAAAAAAAGATGACAGACATCACCAGAGAAGGTTTGGAAAAAGAGGAAGGGCCTCCCCTAAGTGTCAGGGGCGCATTTGGAATACTTAAGAGTATGATAGGGGTGCTCTCAAAAATGGTTTCCACAGTAAGCTTGGCTGATCCATTTGCTGGGGAATGTCTTTTTTTTATATCCCATGGAAACCCTATTACATTCCTTAAATTATTTTAGCTTTTTCATTTTCTGTAGAAGCAGGCTCTTTCTCAAAAAAAGTATTGAGTTGCAAAGACCTGTCATCTTTATTTTCTCAGAGTGCATACATGAGACTCCAAGGGCCATTTTCGGAAATACAGTTGATGCTGGAGCTGATACATCACAGCATATTGCCTGGAATAGTAGAGAATGTTCCTGAGTTGCCATGAACATCACACTGGAGAGTCCAAAAATAAGACAGAGGGGAGGCCACTATACCTCACTTCCATTTTCTTTTCTTGCCTTCCCTTAAGGGAAAGACCTTTTTTTCCTGAAGTTATAATATGCCAAGCCCGTTGACAGTATTGTG